ATATATATATATTAGTTTGCAGTTTTTATTTTACGTGACAAGATAACAGATGGGATGCGAAAAATTAATTTGTAGTAAGTAGCTCCTGGATGCTATACTGGGCGTTTTAGTAGAACTTGATTTTGGTTCAGTGCATATTTCGGCATTTAACAGTTTATCAGACTTTTGGCTGCTGCTTGGTCTTCTTCACCCTTCACTTCTATATATACACTTTGCAGGGTTTTTTTCTTTTTTGGCTTGACCTTCTTCGGTTCACTTTATACATGTGGGCATTTCATAATGTTTTGGGCCTGTAACCTAAAGAAAATAATTATTTTATTTAAGGACACTGAAAGATTCCAGTACATTTGCTGCCCAGGCAGCATATATCCAGTAATACTATAATTCGGAAGGGGTACTGAATAACCATTTAATTCACCTTAGGAATAGGTATATTTGAGTTGGCAGAGATTCCATTAATCAGCCTCTTGAATTATTCACAGGATAGCTTGTGCTTCTGTAGGGTTTGACCTGTGTTTGGCAGATGTAAAAACTCTGTTGGCTAAGCATTTGCTCTTCTTTAAACCGCCCGTAGCTTCTCGAAGAATTTTCCTCAATGATATAATTATGGATTGCAAATTGATGTTATTTAAAATATATGTTGCAGTGTTGGTAAAATGTGTGTTCCTAACATACAGAGTGTATGCCCATACCTTAATTATAATAACATGGTTTCATAACTTTTTTGACCTGTGAAATTCTCTTTTGGATGATCTAGTGACACTTTTTTTTTCTGCTATTCCAGGGCTTTAAACATGGGAGGAAAGCTGAGCAAGAAGAAGAAGGGATACAATGTAAATGATGACAAATCAAAAGACAAGGACAAAAAGGCAGATGAAGCTAATACAGAAGAAGAGGGGGCAACTAAAACCAATGAGGAGTCCCAGTCTGTTGTAGAAAATGCAGATGCAAAGGAAAATAAGGATGAGAAGAATGATAAGGATTCCCAGGTGGCAGAGAACAAAACTGAGGTCAAGGAAGGAGATAAAGATGCAGCTAAAAAGGAGGCTGTACAAAAAACAGAATCTGAGAAGACGGAGGCTTCTTCTGAAGCCAAAGCAGAACCTCAGAGTGCGGAACCCCCTGCATCGAAGCAAGAGGAACCAGCAGCTGCAACTCCTGCTGCGCCTGCAAGTAGCGAAGCCACTAAAGTCTCTGAGCCTACTACTGAGGCAAAGGTTTCCCAGCCTTCAGAAGCACCAGCACCAAGTAAAGTAGAGGAGAAGAGCAAGGAGGATGGGGAAGCCAAAAAGACTGAGGCTCCCTCCGCTCCAGAGGCCAAAACTGAGTCTGCTCCAGCTGCAGACTCCAAACCTAGCAGCGAACCTGCTCCATCTTCCGTGAAGTCTCCAGAACCTGAAGCACCTAGTTCTTCTACTAAGGCCTCCGAGCCTGCAGGACCAGCTGATGAAGTTAACGCTACTGAAACCCCAGCAGCTAATTCTGATCAAACCGTAGCAGTTCAAGAGTAAGATGGACAGCCTGTTTGAAATAACCACTTAAAACAACCTTCAGTTATGTTTTTTTTCTTTGTTTTTGATTATTTTTTCAGATATACTAACAAACTTGATTTAGATTTGAATAAAATACATGTAATGCCCAGAAACAATATAAAAATCCAAATAGTATTTTTGTGGGGGACGAAAATGTACAAAATAAACCTTCCACCAACTCTGTCAATTAAGTAAATTAAAGAAAGAAAAGTTTAGCTATATAGATGTTTTTGAGCATTTTTTTGTACATCTGAGCAGCTACAAAATGGAAGGTCAACGTACGGTGATACCTTTTTTTTGTTTTCCCTCCTGCAATGCGATTGCAGAAGAGATTTTCTCTGAATTTGCCCGTAGGGCTTGTGCCAAGGCAATCAAATCTTCTTTTTTTTCAGAGATTTATATATTTTTTTTTTCTTTCATTTGCAGTCAACATTTCTTTTTAAATGCAGTGAATAATGGCCAAACTTTTACAACAAGATCCCACTTTAGCTGTCTTTTTCCTCTCCAGATATTTTGGGAGTAACAACATCCTCATCCTACTTAGTCTACCTAGATTTCTCATGATGAAATAATGCATGTCTGTGGTTGGGTGCACCTGTAGTTCTGTTTATTGGTCAGTGGAAATAATAATAATAATAAAGTCTGCGTTGATTTGCAGTTCCAGTTTTTCTTCCATTCTATGTCACGGACACCAACACAACTCATTGAAAAGCAAGTAACTAATAAAAATAAATAAAAAAAGCAAAACAGGAACAAAAGGAAAAAAAAAACAAAAAAAATTACGGAAGATGTAAAATGGATGCATTGAAAATATATGTAATTGTATAAATGGTGCAACAGTAATAAAAGTAAAATAATTAAGAAACAAATTCTTAGTAGTTGTTGTTTATTTCTGATATTAATTTTGTTTAATTTTTAACTGAGCCCACATAGCAGACTGTTGGGTCTATATGGTACATTGTATTTTGAACAAAATCAAAGTATCTTGAACAATTGTTACATTGTAAGTATTATAGCCCGTTAGATGGGCTAACTGTGTTGTCCACAATTTCTGTGCAAGCTTTAAGTATCTGTTCCCGGAAACCAGCTAGATTTTTACAGTGCTTGCAAACTATTAATAAATGTGTACTATTATGTATGAAAGATGGGGTTAAAGCTTAAAATTGTATGCCGTGCCTATATAACATAGTAATACTACAAGAATAATGGAATCTACCAAATTCAAACTTTTTAAGAATCTTGATTGCCATATGTGTATGGCTATTGGATATAGGTCTTGCGCCTTGTACTGGGCCATGTGCTAAGATCCAACAGTTTCAACATGTCTGGGCAAAATTAAAACAAAACAAAAAAACATTTATTAAATTTCTGAGATATATGCACATTTCCCCATGTTTTGTGTTTTTAAAAATGCTGTGAGTACTAGACATGTGCGATTCGTTTAGTTCCGAATCGAAATTCGGACGAATTTTTGGAAATTCGGATGTATCCGAATTCCAAATTACAGACATAATGAATGCAAACGAATCCGAATTTCCATTTCCGAAATTCGGTAGCGTTAGTACGAACGTTCGTTTCGTTTTCTGTTCTTATTCGTTTCTTATTCGTTTTGTTCGTTGGAGCAAAGTGACATTAGAGAAGGAGAAAAATATTTTTTCCCCCTCAAATGTCACTTTTGTTGCAAACGAATGAACGAAACGAATGAGAACAGAAAACGAAACGAACGTTCGTACTAACGCTACCGAATTTCGTCCGAATACGAATTCCGAATCCAAATTGACTTTCACACCCGAATCCTGAAAAATGAAATAACACAAATCCGAATTTAAAACGAAACTAAACAAATTTTTTGGCAGTGCACATGTCTAGTGAGTACCAAAATATTCCTGTTGATCTTGCCAGCTCGCAACTTCCGGTTTTGAGCTGGCAAATCTGCTTGTGCTGCAATGAAATCCAAAGTAGTGTTACCAACCCCGCCTGAGTACTCTTGAACTACAGATTACTTTCCCCTTATGTTAGAGAAGATGAGATGTAGCCCAGCAGTGGAGAACTGGGCAGGGATGAAAACACTGCGTGGGATTTCAGTGCAGCAGAGGCATACCCACTATTATTCAATTTAAAGTACTATTCAAGAACCATTGACTTGCTCAGTGTCTCAAATGGAAGGTGCTGATACACATTAGTATTGGCACAAACATGTTTATATTTAAATAATACAGTATACTGTAATATGTCTTAAAGCTGTGAAAGTCAATGAAATGGAACAAATATGCTATTTTTCCAAAATACTGACAGGTCTTTTTAGGTTGAATCTAATGATCTAATGATGTATTGTTAGGATCTAGTTTACTATCCAGCTCATATCACATATCTTATGTGCCAAAACTGTAGCTTTGTGCCATTTAATATGGCAGTCTGTTGAATACAACATTAGAAAATCAGTGCTGCGAGGTGACTCAAGGATTGAAAATTTTGGGTTGACATGAAATTGATCTCTCCAGTAAATGTAGAGATAAGGCAACTCTCGTAATCACAATCTGTGTGAAGTCTGCCCAAATGAACAGTGCATGTGCATGCCAATTAGAAGCAAGCCTATAGGTTTTCAAAACTTTGAAACATTGTTTTAAATGTGGGTATCACTTGGGTAGTTCCCTCTTACTGAATGTATAGAACATTATTTTCTGTTTTAGATAGGGGTTTTAACCCTTCCCTGTGTCGTGCTCTGGATATTTCCCTTCACCTCCTGCCATGGAGACAAAACAAAATAAGAAGACTTCCCACCCTTACTGTCACCTGAATATCTGTCCCCATTGGAAGATTTACACCTGTCGCTTGCCCTAAGGACAACTCGGCTAAAGCTGTGAATTTTCCCAGGGAGGGCACAGACGGCAATACAAAGATGACAGAGTGAAAATAGGGGGCTGAATTGAGAGGACTAAATCTTTAAGGGGGCCAACCTAATTGTAGAACAAGATTATGTGCAATAAAACATTTCCTATAGTATTTAGCTGACAAATTAGTGTAACTTCTCAAGAGAACAGCTGGAGGCACATATTTTTATAACCGAGCTGAGTGAATAACCAAGCCGTAGTAAAGTGAGCCGAACAGCGTTCGGCTATTGACTACGGCTGATTTCAGCCATACATCAGCTGCACGTCGGTCAGCCGAACATGCTCTGATCGGCTTGGCCGAAGTGGAGAAGCACTTCGACTCAGCTGAGCCAACATCTGGATTGGCTGAGCAGAAGCTCACTCGCTGCCGTTCGCCCCAATTCACACAGTGAATAGCTCGGCTTATCTGCTCGGTACCTCCATGGTACCGAGCAGAATAGAAAACAGTGGAAAAAGTAGAAAAAAAAGTTCCAAATATATTTTTAAAAATGTCAATAAAACGTTTTAAAAAAAATTAAAGATTAAAAAAAAGAAATTGGACAGAGCTAGCAGTGGACGGGGAAGTTGGGGAAACCCAACTGTTTCCTATTGGCCGGCGTCTGCTAAAGTCTTCTTGCAGGTCCCAGTCAATGAATAACAAACTGGGCGGAGCCGGACATGATGTTACATAGTTACATAGTTACATAGTATTTGAGGTTGAATAAAGACATTAGTCCATCAAGTCCAACCTATTAGGATCTCATTCTAGGAGTACCTGTACCCCTGTATATTACGGTCCCTTAAGAAATCGTCCAAATTTTCTTGAACAATTCCACATTTGCTGAAATCACCGCCTGTGGCAGTGAGTTCCAGACCCTAACTGATCTTACTGTGAAGAACCCCCTTCGCCCCTTGTGCTGGAATTTTTTTTCCACCAATTTTAGGTGGTGGCCTCTAGTTTTTGTAATGGAGTTAATTTTAAACAGTTTATCGCTAATGTTGCTACCACCATTGAACATTTTGTACATGGCGATCATATCCCCCCTTAATCTCCTCAACTCCAATGTGAACATGTTTAAATTTAGTAGCCTTGTCTCGTAGCTCTGGTCCTCCATACCCCTAATTAGTTTGGTTGCCCTCCGCTGGACTTTTTCCAACTCAAGGACATCTTTTCTTAGTACTGGTGACCAGAACTGGACCGCGTACTCCAGATGAGGTCGAACCAATGATCTATAAAGTGGCAAAATTATAGACTTGTCCCTGCAATACATCCCCTTTTTAATACAGGACAAGACCCTGCTAGCTTTGTTTACAGCAGCCTGGCACTGCAAACTACCTTTCAGTTTGTGGTCTACAATGACCCCCAAATCCTTCTCCATTTCTGACTTCCCCAGCGGCATACCCATAATTGTATAACCCATTTGTTTATTTTTAATTCCAAAGTGCATTACTTTGCATTTATCGACATTAAACCTCATCTGCCACATTAATGCCCACTCCCCTATTTTATCCAGGTCCTCCTGTAATGTTATAGTGTCTAAGTCCGTGTCTATTACCCTCCCTATTTTGGTGTCATCCGCAAACACGGAAATATCGCTGTTAACACCCTCCCCGATGTCATTAATAAATAAGTTGAACAATATGGGACCCAGCACAGAACCCTGAGGCACACCGCTCATTACACTAGCCCAGTCTGAAAAGGTGCCATTTACAGATACCCTCTGGACCCGTTCCCGTAGCCAGTTCTCTATCCACGTACACACCACCTCATCTATGCCCATAGCCCTCAGCTTGTGTAGCAAGCGTTTGTGTGGTACCGTATCAAAAGCCTTTGAGAAATCCAGATATACCACATCTACCGGCTTACCTCCATCCATATCTCTACTTACCACCTCATAAAAAGTTAGCAAGTTAGTTAGGCAGGAACGATCTTTCCTGAACCCATGCTGATTGTTATTAACTATCCCATTTTCCTGAACAAATTCTACCAGATAATCCTTTATTATGCCCTCTAGCATTTTACAAACTACCGATGTTAGACTGACCGGCCTATTGTTTCCAGGTTGGCACCTAGCCCCCTTTTTGAATATTGGGACTACCGTAGCCCTCCGCCAATCACTGGGGATCCTACCAGTCATTAAGGAGTCCTTAAAAATGAGGATTAATGGTTATAACCTGGATTAATTCCTTAAGTACCTTGGGGTCAGTGGCGACTCTAGGAACAATATTTAGGGGGGGCACATAAGATACCACAGTCAGATCTGGGGGGGCACTAATAATTTTAATTGCATGTTGCAACCGATGGGCGCCGAGAGCTGATTTAATTGCGCATGGCATCTGCGCCCTGCAGTTGCGACAGAAGCTGTCTACAGCGTGTGCTGGCTAGTACTTAAACTGGCGCGCAGTGTGCAGCTTCTGAGAATATACGCTACTAGCATAGCGGGGAAGCCGGCTGCGCATTTTGCATCGCTCCCGCTACGCTAACAGTGTATCTTCTCAGAAGCTACACACAGCGCGCCGGTTTAAGTAGTTACCAGCACACGATGTATGCAACTTCTGACAGCATGGGAGACGGGAAGCTGCACTTGTCTGTGGATCCAGGGATCAGGTGAGTATTAAAAAATATATATTTTATTTTATGTTATGTTTTTGTTTTTTATCATCAAGCTCTGCCACTCTGCTGTGAAAGATCCGCGGCCGCCCCTGAGAAAAAAACCCTTCCTGCACGTGGGCAGGAAGGTACCAAAACATCAAATTGGACGGGGGTGTTGGGACGTACCAACTGTTCCGTACGACCGCGGCGGACCCTGCAAGGACCAGTCACAAACACCTTGCCGATCCCTGGCGGGGGGGCACACGGGGGGGCAAGTAAAAAACCTAGGGGGGTGCCCCCCTCCCCCCCTGTAGCAACACCACTGCTTGGGGTGCAGGTTATCCGGACCCACTGCTTTGTTTGCATTGAGCATTTTAAGTCTTTGTTGTATCCCTGTTTCCGTCAA